AATTATAACAAAAGTACTTCAACGGAAATCTCAACATCTCCTGTCGGCTGAATTTGGGAATCTCAGAAGCATTCAGATTCTGTAAGTTCTATAAACTTTTATGGGAGAGTAAAATTTATTTTCCTTGTAAGTTTTACACATTCATGATTATATGGATGCTTATTGTTTTAATCTGGCTCTAGTGATTTGTCATTCAACAATCTGTTTGGACATGCTCTAGTGCTTTGCCTGGTTGATGGAAAGGATGATGTGTACTCACTTTTCACGCCCTTTCAATGATTTTGATTTATATTGTAATTTGTATCACATGATCCATATATTATATAATTTTAAAGTTACTAATCATTTCCTTGCCGCTTTACTTAGAACTAAGTGCAATTGTCCTTATCTGAAAAAGTGATGTACTTTTTCTGACACGTGCATGCTTTTGCTTTTACGTGCTTTTCTTCTTCTTCTTTCATCACGCTATCATGTTGAGAGCATTTGAGTGATTGTAGACGATGCCTTGATTTTTCTTTTAAGACTTCCAAAAAAAGACAAAAAGGTTCCTAGGTCTCTGCTAAATTCAGATACTACTGCTAACAAGGCAAAGAAGACTTCACGCAAGGTCTATCACAGGAAGCAACATTTAATGCAAGAACTCAAGCATTAAATGAGTAGATTGAACTAGTCATAAATGACTATATCTGCTTCAACGGACACTTGTAATGGGCAGATTCTACAAGACAATATATATATCACTATCTCAAACCTTAGAAGGTTGGCTTCATTGGCTGGCCTTTGGCTTTGCATTCTTAACCAAGTGATATCAAGCCCAAAAAGCAACAAACCAGAGATAGAGCGTATAGAGTCAAGTGTACCATAGTGTATTCGTCTCTGTAAACTAAGGAGTTCCAAACATGTGCATCTTAGGAACAAAACCTTAGTGAGTATACCGATTTATGTATCCTCTTTGTGAGAGTAGACCAAACACTCAATCGTTGGGAATTTTTCTTATTTTCACTTTTAGTCCTTGAACTCTTTCTCTCATTAACATTTTGATCCCTAACATAATTTTTTTTTGTTCATAGATGAAAAGTTTTTGGGACTAAAACTAAATGAAATTTGTTGAAGGACTAAAAACAAAAATTGACAAAATTTTAAGAACTAAAAATATATTTAATAAAAGATAATACTAGAAACATAAGGTTTTCAATATAAGTTAATCACTTAGAAAATATCATTATTAAGAGTTGGAACAATTCATATACTAAGTCAAACTTTAACAAGCTTGAGCCTAGCATAAAACATATTTACTATTGGCATATATTGGCATCAAAACAACCTTGCAGGCAAAACTCATTGCGCTAATGATTATTATTGAATATGCTCACTCAATTGGTTGGCATCGACTATTGTTGGAAAGTGATCTAGAGCTTACTTTGAAAGCTTTTTCTAATGTGAGTTTGGTCCCTTCAAATCTCTATAGTAGATAGAAACATTGTTTAGTTCTTTGTTCATAGATGCATCTTATTTTTTTTTATCACATTTATAGAGAAGACAATCAATATATTGATAAGTTAGCTAGTTTTGAACTTGTTTCTAGATTTTTTATGGTGGGATGTTATGCCCTCTTGTATTGAGGAGCCTTTTTTTTTCTTTCCGTAATCGGAGTGGTTTACCATCGTTTTAGTTTTGTTGATTTGTACATGGGTTTTGGTCTATGTCTCCCTATGTTCATTGTTCATTTTTTTCTTCTTTTGATATACATTTTTGGTAGGCTGCAAATAATTGGTAGGCATTGGGATGCTAGCATTGTTATGATGCCTTGGTCCTAAAGTATACTTTGCATGTTAATAATTTCTATGAAAAAAATAAATAAAACATATTTACTAAGAACAAATTTGCCTTGTTATAGACTCCTTTTTTAAGGCCTAACTTGACTTGTTTAAACGTTTGGCTTACCCTGAAAGCCTACTTACATAGTTTATTTTATCAAGACCTATAGTCCTAAGTAAGCAACTATGCCTTATTCATTATCTAAATTATTCATGCTATTTTTGGTATACAATGATTCCATTGAGATTCAAACTTAGGATCTTTAACATTCTATCTTAACCTCAACAACTAGACTCACCTTAGTGATTCTTATTCATGCTTTGTAATGTTAAGTCAAACGAAGAAATTCTCAGTAAGGTTTTGAATGAGACAAATATAATGCATATTGAGAATGCAAAGCCAAAGGCCAGCCAATGAAGCCAACCTTCTAAGGTTTGAGATAGTGATATATATATTGTCTTGTAGAATCTGCCCATTACAAGTGTCCGTTGAAGCAGATATAGTCATTTATGACTAGTTCAATCTACTCATTTAATGCTTGAGTTCTTGCATTAAATGTTGCTTCCTGTGATAGACCTTGCGTGAAGTCTTCTTTGCCTTGTTAGCAGTAGTATCTGAATTTAGCAGAGACCTAGGAACCTTTTTGTCTTTTTTTGGTCACATAGCTGTAGAGTGTTGTCCTTATCTGAAAAAGTGATGTACTTTTTCTGACACGTGCATGCTTTTGCTTTTACGTGCTTTTCTTCTTCTTCTTTCATCACGCTATCATGTTGAGAGCATTTGAGTGATTGTAGACGATGCCTTGATTTTTCTTTTAAGACTTCATTCTTTAAATGCTTACATGGCAATATTCGTCTGCGTCTGTTGGTCCTATGCTAAAAGTTATTTAAGTTGCATATATTACAAACAAATACATTTGAACAAGTAGTTATTATTATATTTAATAAGACTCTTTGTTCTTCCATTAACAGATTCAATTCTCATTGTTATTTTTGTAGTTTGTGATCCTTTAAAAAAAAAATTGTGGTTGAACCGGTTTGACTTACCGGTTCACTGGTCAAACCAGAAAATTGACCAGTTCAATCCGGTTTGAAAACGGGTCGAATGCATAACCGATCCAGTTTAAGGTTTGGACCAGCTGGACCATCGGTTCCTGGTTCAACTGGTCCGACCGGCCGATCCGATCCAATTTTTAAAACACTGGCCCATACTATTCTGTATATTAAATCAATTTCTTATATCCGATGTAATTCATAATATATTAAATGGGTTATTTTATATTAATGTTATTTTAATATGTATATATAATATTTAAAATGATGATATAGTTACCAAAATGCTATCATTAAAATTGATTATACTACAACTGATTTTAATAGTCTGATTAATTAAGTTCCAAGCTTTTCTTAAAAATAAAGCAGGTTGAAACTTAATTAGCAACAAAAATGGACGTTTGAGTGTTTTATCGTAACTCCATAGTTATTGATGATTCAAGACATAAGCCGCTGAGCATTAATCAGTTTCAGTTTCATCCAAGTCCTAACCGTCTGTTGTAAAAACTTAGGCTAAAATTGATTTTTTTTTTCATTAACAAGGAGAAAATTAATTTAAGATATCAATCCTAAAAAAATATTAGCAAGAAAGAAAAAGACTAATAGTTAATGGACACGGTTACTTATAAAAAAAATCTCCAATTGAAAAAATGGTAAACTAACTAAAAGCAAAATGAATCAACAAATAAATTATGCATCTATAATAATTTAATAGGATGAATGTGTGTATTGCTTGTGATCATGCAATCTATATAAAAGTTTAACTATATCAACTTTTGATATTAGTGCAAAAGCTATCCTTATTCTTCTACCTACCCACATTAAATTTGATGAGATGTAAGGAAGTTTCTATATATTGCTTGAAACGCGTGTCCAAAATATAATTAATTGTTAAGACGAACGTGCACATTCGAAAACAAAGTCTTCTTATTATTAACTTACAACGCCAAGTGTTAGAAGACTATTCTCAACCTCTTTCCATTTGAGCTATGGTCCACACGTTGAATGTATCTTGCAAGCTTAACTTTCTAATCTGCTGCAACTTGCCAATTGGTTCATCCCACCTACGCCGGAGTAGTACTTTTCTAAATTAACCCTAACTCAAGCCACAAAAATGGTTGAACAATTTGCACAGCATTAATATTCTGATTTAAAATGAAACACAAATGTCAAAAACACAAGTCAAGTAAGAAGTAACCTATAATTTACGATCTATATCACTCCGTGTAAGAGAAAAAAGTGAGGAAAAAAAAGATTTTTCATCCCACTCTATGTGAAAAAAAAAAAAAATTAAGGCAATATACGCTCTTACAATAATTTCATTTTTTATATTTTTCTGAAACTGAATTTTGTACAAAGCCACCACCTCTAAGATCAAACTTTTCTACAAGGATCAAAAATGTTGTATATATCTATGTAAACATATGAATCTATCTACCACAAGTCTAGCTATAATCTAAAGTCTTTCAATTAAAGAGCGCATATCAATTAATAAAAATCCATCACAAACTTACCTATAATATTGTTAATTTTGGTCACCACCTCTATCCATTTTCTTTCACCTTAACCAAATGGGTTCCTCGTTTATGGTTTCCAACAAAGGCTTCCTTGACCTACAATAACTCAACCTATTCCCAAACCCTAACTCAACTCCTTCCAAACTCAACCTTGGAGCTTCATCATTTATTCCAACACGGGTTAACTGATCATGTGACTTTAAATCATGGCCATTAGATACTCTCTTTGTGGTCGCATTCGCGACCATGAAGAGCACAGCCACATCGGCGGGGGTGACGACGGAATTTAGTCTTCTCATAGGAAAGAAGATGTAGACATTAGCACACTCCAAGTCTTCATCGGCACCAAGGGCTGAAAACCTGCGTCCGATGTGTAGAGACTTGGAGTTGGTTAAGAAGTGAGTGGGGCACTCCATCATGAGCTCCGCAGCATTGATCACTTGCTCCTTGTATTGCTTCACTTCACCTGTGGGGAAGATCACACGCGTTGCCCTTGTGTTCTTCATCAAAGGAACAGCCAAGGTGCAAGAAATGTAATTGCCCATCACCAGAAACTTATTAAACGACTAGGAAAATTAAAGTTCCTCCTAGGATGGGAAAATTAGGGTTGAGAGAGAATTATTGGGTTGTGGTTGATGAGAAAAGGCTTTCTACACGGGGAATAGAAGATGGAAGATGAGTATATATATACGGGGAATTAAGAAAGGAGAATGTTTTTTTTTTTTTTTTGAGATAAAGAAAAATGTGTAATATTACCAAGTATGACGAAAATTCTTCCGAGAAACACTTGGCCTAATTTCTGGCTTTTGTCTTCCCTTTCAATTCTTTTATGTTTAATTTTATTATTCACCAAATCAAATATGTCGAGATCTTACGTTGATTACATGGTCAGAGTAATATACATATATATAGGGTTTAAATGAATATATAAGTGTGATTTTACATGTCATTCAATGATAATCCATAAAAACTAATAATAAATTTTTTCATCTTTATAATAAATATTTTAAAATTACGCAAATCATAATTTTTAATAGTTAATTGTGTGAAAAATTTTAGATTAATTGTATATAATTATTAATCTCATATATATATATATATATATATATGTATATATGAAAAATAACTTTCATCTAATATTTAATTAAATTTGATCATATTGTAAGATAATATCAAATTTATCTCGTAATAAATATTTTATACAGTTTTCCAAATATAACATTTGAAAATGTCTAATCTTTAGTAAATGTGAGAAGAGTATTTTTTTGAAGATTTCATATTAATAATAGATCAAAATAATATATACAATTAGAAGAAACATTATGTGACAAGGAGAAAAAATAGGACAACAAAATTCTTGCCTCGCATCGATGTAATTACTTAAATCCATGATTAAAAAATATGACAATGTTTTTGAAATTTAATTGACTGATTTCTGTCGGATCCCAATAAAGCCTGATTTTTGTCTTTTCCTACTTTAAAAGATTATAAAAATTAATAAATAAAGATATAGTCGTATGTTAATTACCAAATTACCTAAAGATCTTTTAAGCATAATCACAAAACAGTGCAAATATAATATAATAAAATTATTGAATACAATACATAATATTATGTTTGAATATTTATAACATTAATAAAAGTTACTCTGATTTGATATCACATTGTTTTTAAACTTTTTATACTCTTAATTTATTTATTTTGCTATCTCATTTTTTTAAAAGTTAATTGAACAAGTTTTTTATTTTTATTTTTTTTACTGAAATACTAAATACCTCTTTTTATTAGTTATATATAATAATAATAAAATTTAATAACAATAAATAAATAATATTTGAAGTTTTTAATATGATATATGCTCTCTAAAAAAATACATTACACTGATTAATAAAATTTTTTAAGTTAAAATTCAAAGTATTAAAGCTATATATTTTATTTCATCATCAACGTGATAATCTTGATCAGCTCGAGGGCCCTTTAATATTAAAGTATTTTTGTTGGGATGCAAACAAAGTTTCACATCGTTTAAACAAGAGGATGAACATGAATTTATATACACACACTTGTCTTCATTGGTTGAGAGACCTTTTGGGTGATGTCCAAAAATAAATCCGTGAGGACTTGTGTCCGAAATGGACAATATCTCACCAATGTAAAGATGTGTGTGTTAACTCCTCAGTGCACAACAGTTTTCATATTCTATCACTCTCTCATGATAAAAATAAACATCACAAACTAGGAAAAAAAATATAAACATTCATCTTTCTCTTCGAAATGAATCATGTATTCTATGCTCAATACAAGATTGTTTACTTGGTAAAAATGATGCACTATATGCATAACAACGGTTTTCATATTCTATCACTCTCTCATGATAAAAATAAACATCACAAACTAGGAAAAAAAATATAAACATTCATCTTTCTCTTCGAAATGAATCATGTATTCTATGCTCAATACAAGATTGTTTACTTGGTAAAAATGATGCACTATATGCATAACGATCATTTTAATATATTCTCTATTATATATTAGTTGAAATTTACAAGAAATTACAAAGTTTCTTTATATATATATATATATATATATATATATATATCACATCTTATTTAGTAATTCCTTTTTTATTTTTCTAATAAATTTTAATGAAAAATTATGTGTTGAAAAAATAATAAAAATATATTCATAGTAAAACAGTCATCTCTATACAAAGTAGTCTATAAAAATATTAAGAGACTCTTCGATAAATTAGATATTTTAATAATAGAGATAAAATTAAATAAAATGATAAAGAAAGTAATTTAATTAGTATAAATAAATCTTATAACTCCTGGTTAGTAAAATTATTAAAAAAAAAGAGAAATTCTCTGGTATCCACTTATTTGAAAGGGTACCAGTACAGTCTTTTATATTTTATATTTTTAGTAATTTATTTAAATAATATTTATGATATTTTATTCTTTCAATTTTTAAATTATTTATTCATTTTATTTTTATTTTATATATTTTAATTTATTTGTAATAATATTATTATATATTTAAATAGTTTAATTTTAATAATTTTTTAACTATATTTTTATCTTTTCACT